GGAGTTTATACCACCTCGTTGTTCTTTTCATCACAAGCTGATCTTTCTCTCTTCCCTTTTCATCTCTGAGTGTTAATTAACTAATTGTGCCTCTTTTTGTGCTAAGGTCTCGTAACGCTAATTTACTTAACGACTACCTGTACTTTGTAACCTAAATAAGGCTACCACCTCGTTCTATTCATCACAACCTGATTTTCTCTCTCTCTTTATCTCTCTCTCTCTCTCTCTGTTTTTCATCTTTGAATGTTAAATTAACTAACTGTGCCTCTTTTGCGCTAAGATCTTACTTGTGTTTGGGTATATTCTGGTTTTTTTCTGATTTGAAGCTTGAAATCTTTTGGTGCAGAGATGGCGACTGGTGGAGGTGCTCCGCAGAGAGGAACTGCAGCGGCGGCTGCCGCTAACCTGCGCAGGAGGAGGACAGCTGGCAGTGGTGGGGCAGCAGGAGGAGCTGGAGGGACCATGCTTCAGTTCTACACCGATGATGCTCCTGGGCTCAAGATTTCTCCCAACAATGTGCTTGTGTTGAGCATTGGTTTCATAGCCTTTGTTGCCATACTACATGTCGTGGGCAAGCTCTACTTTGTCCGTAAAGACTAAAACTTTTTGGCTTGTTGGCATGTGGTAAGTGTTTTGGGTTTCAGGCAACAACCGTAAGTAGTGTGTTTTAGGATATGATTTTAAGGAGAATGTTGCTAAATCTTTGACTTATATTATGTTAATGGGATTTTGTCTTGGGTGAAGTTGAAAGCTGAGTACTTGTGTTGCATGCAGTATGAAGGAGACCTTTGCTTAACAAACAAACTCTAGTTTCGTTCTTCGTTTCCTTTTTGACCTTTTCAAGAGCCCCATATGTTTTTACCCATATGTATAATTTCCGAATGTGTTGAGCATAAGTGGCAGGCTCGCATGCTTCGGAATCCTAGGTGTCAAAATTTCATGCTTTGTTATTTGGTTTGGATAGATTTAAATTTAATTTCAATCCAAAACTAATTAGGTTCGGATTACTATAATTATGTTGATTTATTTATATGATCATTTTAGATGTATTAATTGTATTTTAATAACATTTCCTAATATAACTATTGAATTGTAAATACATTTTAAAGGTTGATAATTTTTGTAGTTCTTATCGGTTTTACATATATAATGTATCAAATTAACCATATTATATATATAAAATAAATAAATTATATTTATCTTTACAATAATTAAAAAATATTTATTAAAATTAATTAAAAAATAAATTATTTCTCAATTAATATATTAATGTTTAATGTAGTTATATGTTATAAGTTAGAAAAATTATTATAATATAACAAATGTAAGTAGCACAAGTAACAAGTGTCATACTAAAATATTATATATATATATATATATATATATATATATATTAT